GCCCACTAGCTTGGGCTAGTAGATGTCCTGGCCAAGATCTCAAAATGGCCGGAGAGAGCTGTCCTGGCCACGATGTCACAAACTGGCCGGACAGCAGTTCGTAAGGACCGAAGTCCAAGCGATTAGGAGGAGGGGTCGGGGTGGGGGTGGGGGTTGGGGGGAAAGATGGAGGGGAAAGGAGAGGGGATGGTGGGGGATTTGGGACTGCCAGAGGGGCGGTGGGGTTGGTTTTTAGTAGCAGACAAGGACGACGGGCTAGTTTTGTCACCTTGAGAGATGGAACAGGAACTAAAGAGAGTGTGGCCCGTTCTTCCATTGCTGAAGGCCACACCAGATGAATTGTCCCTTCCACATTGTTGGGTGGAAGCAGCGGACTGAAAAAGAGGCTCAGCCTTCAGAGTTTGGATTGTGCTTCAGGGCACAATGTGGGGGCCCCCTCCCTTTTCTTGCAGGAGATCTTTCTCAAGGCTAGAAAGCACCTGGCAAGGTTGTAGAATTGTAAGAACAGGGAAACGGGGTCTTGGAGAAACCAGACCACAACTATCACTAGTCCTGCCATACCTATGGTAGGATCTGTGTCACGTCCTGTTCCTCCTCAAGCAGCTTTAGATTTGTAGCTGGCTTTTCTGTGGGACTTGGTCTGTGACCACAGTAAACCGCAGGGCCCTTGACAGAGAAGGCAGAGAAGAATAAGGAATGGGACCCTGGCCTGACGAGTCCTGCCATACCTATGGCCATACCCAGGCCATAGGACAGAATTATGCTTATAGTCAAGCCAGGGCCCCCCCCCCCCCCCCCCCGCCCATTCCTTATTCTTCTCTGCCTTCTCTGTCAAGGGCCCTGCGGTTTACTCTGGTCACAGACCAAGTCCCACAGACAAGCCAGCTACAAATCTGAAGCTGCTTGAGGAGGAACAGGATGTGACACAGATCCTGTTAAGGAAGGAACCTGTCTCCAGTGTTGGAAGTAGACCCCTCCACCTGAATCTCCAAAACCCAAACAGCCCCCACCTTCCACCCCTCCTTCCTCTTATTCCCGTTATTCAACCCACTTTCCTCTCTTAGCCCCTAAGCCTCGTGGTCCAAGAGGGTGAGGTACAGGGTCAGCTGATGAGGATCTGGTCACCTCTGAAAGCGACAGAGTGGGAAAAGGGAAACCAAACTTACTGTGGAAGGTCCATGCCGGTTGTTCTAACTTCACTGCGTCAACACGCTGGGAGTCCAGTTCTGGTATTTCTGAACTGTGATGGAATGGCACCACTAGTTTGGGCTAGTAGATGTCCTGGCCAAGATCTCTCAAAATGGCCGGAGAGAGCTGTCCTGGCTATGATGTCACAAAGTGGCCTGACAGCTGTTCGTAAGGACCGAAGTCCAAGCGATATGGGGAGGGAGGTTTGGGTGGGGGCTGGGGGGAAAGATGGAGGGGAAAGGAGAGTGAGGGCTAGTGGGGGATTTTGGGACTGCCAGAGGGGCAGTGGGGTGCGTTTTTAGTAGCAGACACAGAGCAACGGGCTAGTTTTGTCCCCTTGAGAGATGGAACAGGAACAAAGGAGTGTGGCTCATCCTTCCATTGCTGAAGGCCACACCAGATGAATTGTCGCTTCCACGTTGTTGGGAGGAAGTAGCTGACTGCAAAAGAGGCTCAGCCTTCAGAGTTTGGATTGTGCTTCAGGGCACAATGTGGGGCCCCCC